ATGGGATGCTGGGAGTTTTGGTTCGTGAGGAGACTCGGCTACGAACTCAAACCCAGCTTGATGTGCGACCGGGAGCAGGGGAGGCAGTTTTCTCGGCCTCTCAATCCACCGCCTATGCTGCCGATCGCCTTCAATTTCAGCGCCGCACTCCGATCGCTGAACTGGAGTGTCACCATTGCCACGAACGTGGTCACCTGAAGAAACACTGCCGCGGATGGAACTTTTGCGTTTATTGCAAAAGAACCGGTCACATCGTCTTGGACTGTCGAACTCGGCAGCGCCATGAAGCGCGTGCCCAAGGAGGAATGACGAGTGCTCCTTCCCAGCGTCCTGCTCCTGCCCCAGGCTCGTTTTCGAGTTCTTCTTCTCGGCCCTATGATCGCCAAGCAGCCCCTGCCGTGGACCGTCCTCAGCGCGCCGCATATATGGCCGAAGCAATCAGCAATGGCGGCAGCAGTGGTCTGTCCGCCCAAGATATTGAGCAAATGGTGAACGCTGCACTCCAGAGGTCTTTACCAACGGCCATCAATGCTGCGTTTGCAACCCTTCATGGAAACTCAGGTAAGCCGTCTCCTTGGATTCTTGATTCCGGCTGTTTCAACCATATGACGCGTAATTCTCATTGTTTAACAAATGTGCTGCCGATTAATGATTTGTCTTTGCGGGTAGCAAATGGAAATCAGTTGCAAGTTAGGGTTATGGGTATGATGCATGATTCTCACCTTGATTTACCACATACTCTCCATGTCCCACAACTTGTTCCTAACTTAGTTTCTGTGGGACAACTTACCGAAGCTGGCTGTTCTGTTTTGTTTGCACCGTCCGGTTGTGTTATCCAGGACCTGAAGACGGGGAGGCAGATCGGCAGAGGGAGTAAACGGGGGAGGATTTTTCACTTAGAAGAACTTGGAAAATCTTCATCATCATCATCTATCAGTAATTATCGTGATAGGTCTGTCAGTAGTCCTGCGTCTTTTCCTACATGTTTTTCGAGTCAGTCTAGTGATGTTTGGGATCTTTGGCACAATCGTTTAGGACATCCTCATTTGAGTCGTTTGGCTGTGATGTTTAGACAGTCTTTGCTTGGTAAAAATAATGCTTGTACCTCTGCGAAACATTCTTGCACGAGCTGTGTCGAAGCAAAAACCAGTAGTCGGTCATTTCCTTCTAGTACCACTGTGATTGATCAACCTTTTCATGTTATTCATACTGATCTGTGGGGACCTTCATCTGTTCTTTCTCGACATGGTTTTCGTTATTTTTCCTTGTTTATTGATCATGCTACTCGTTTTACTTGGGTGTATTTTCTGCGTCAAAAATCAGAACTTCGATCGGTAGCTACTGAATTTCTAAAAATGATACATACTCAATTTGATCGACCAGTGAAAATAATGCGTTCTGATCCTGGTGGGGAATTTAGTTCTTCTCCCTTGTATGAGGTGTATCGTTCTCTCGGCATTCTGACCCAGAAATCTTGTCCCGGTGTTTCTCAACAAAATGGTCTGGTTGAGCGCAAAAATCGTCATGTATTAGATCTTACTCGTGCTCTTCTTCTTGCCTCGAATGTCCCTAGTTGGTTTTGGCCTGAAGCAGTAGCTACCGCGGTCCGTCTTATCAATTATCAAGTTACCCCAGTTTTGCAAAACACCAGTCCATACTTTGCCTTGTACTCAAAACATCCTGACTATACTAGTCTTCGTGTTTTTGGCTCGCTTTGCTTTGTTCTTCTTCCGCGGCGAGAGCGTACTAAACTGTCTTCTAAAACTGCTAGGTGTGTCTTTCTTGGGTATAGTGATGTGCATAAAGGCTACTTGTGTTTTGATCCTCATTCTCAGCGTATGCGCATTGCTACAACCGTTGTTTTCTTTGAAAATATCATGTACTACACCGATGCTTCTTCCTCGCCTAGTTTTCTCCCCTCTACCTTGTCCTTACCTGGTTTCAGTCATGATGATATTGATGGTGTTGATTTCCTTCCACCAACTCCCCCCGACGCTCCTGACTCTGATTTGTCTTCCCCGGACGACACATCCTCTGCCTCTACATCACCTCCGCACCCACATCTCACGTCCAGCTCCCATGGTTCTGCGTCCCCATCTTCGTCGGCCTTTACTTCGTCATCCGGTTCATCCTCTGCTGCATCGACTACATCCCATGGCTCGTCCCCATCACCAGCTCCTTTACCTCGTCATTCCACTAGATCCACGAGAGGTATTCCCCCACCTAAATTTAATGATTATGTTGCTCATGGGGTGGATGCTTTTCTTGTTCCAACTCGCTACAAGCAAGCTCAAGGAGATCCGGTTTGGGATTATGCGATGAAGAAGGAATTGGATGCCTTACATGCCAACAATACTTGGACCCTGGTTCCGCGTCCTCCTCCTTCTACCTCTGTTGTTGGCTGTCGTTGGGTGTACACAATAAAAATGAATCCTGATGGTACGATTGAACGTCATAAGGCTCGTCTGGTTGCTCAGGGATTTACACAGGAAATGGGGATTGATTACAGTGAAACATTTGCTCCGGTGGCCAAGATGTCTACTGTTCGCACTTTATTGGCTGTTGCTTCTCTACAACATTGGCCCCTGTATCAGTTGGACGTGAAGAATGCTTTCCTTCACGGTGATTTGGATGAGGTCATTTATATGGAACGTCCTCCTGGGTATACTCTTGGTACGGCTGATCAGGTTTGTCGTCTTAATCGGTCTTTATATGGTCTTAAACAGGCACCCCGTGCCTGGTTCGAGAAATTTCAAGCTACTATCACTGCTCTTGGTTATCAGCAGAGTTTGAATGATCCTTCTCTCTTCACCAAGAAAACCTCCTCTGGTCTGGTTGCTTTGCTGCTTTATGTTGATGATATGGTTATCACTGGGTCTGATCCTGCTGGTATTCAGAGTTTGAAGGATGGTCTAAGTGCGGTATTTAATCTTAAAGACCTTGGTGATCTCTCTTACTTCCTTGGTCTTGAGGTTACTCGTAATGCCAAAGGGATTCTCTTGAGTCAGCGTAAATACATATCCGATTTGCTGTCTGATCATCAGTTTCATGACTGCAAGCCTGTTTCTACACCGATGGAGCCTAATCTTCATCTCAGTCGTTCTTCTGGTACTCCTCTTCCAGATGCTACTGCTTATCGGAGTATTGTTGGGAGTCTGATATACCTTGCTGCTACTCGCCCAGACATTTCTTATCCTGTGCAAGTTGTGAGTCAATTCATGGCATCTCCCTGTACTGATCATTTAGCAGCCGTTCATCGTATTCTTCGATATCTTCAGGGCACTCGTGATGTCGGCATGTTTTTTCCTTCCTCCGGTGCGTTGGCTCTTCGTGCTTACTCCGACTCCGACTTTGCTGGCTGTGTCGATACTCGCCGTTCTACCACTGGATGGGCTGTTCAGTTTGGGTCTGCCTTTATCTCCTGGCGTTGTAAGAAGCAAGACAAGGTCTCCAAGTCGTCCACCGAGGCTGAATACAGGGCCATGTCTGATGTAGCTTCTGAACTTGTTTGGTACGTCGTCTCCTCCGTGATCTGGGTGTCCGCTGCCCTCTTCCTATGGATCTATTTGTGGATAACACCAGCGCTATCCGGATTGCAGTCAATCCCGTCCTGCATGATCGCACCAAGCACATCGAAATTCATGTCCACTACATACGCGATCTTGTTGGGGATGGTACCATTACTCTTCACTATGTCCGCACGGAAGATCAGATTGCTGATGTTTTCACAAAGGCGTTCTCCACCAGTCGTCATTGGTATCTCTCAAGCAAATTGATGCTTTGTGACCAGCATCAATTTGGGGGAGGCTGTTAGCGGGTATTATTTCATGGGTTAATTATTGTTGGGTTAGTGGCTATTTGTTTGTAGTTATTAGGCCCAATGATGTTGCCCATTTACGTTAGCCCATGTAACCCATGCATGGACACCACGTTGGCTGTAGATGGTGATCCTAGGGTTCGGCTAGGGTTGGGTTTTTCTCTTGTATATGAGCAGCCGAATGATGTAAGGAGAACGTAACAAATACACAATCAATAATATCAGTAGCTAGAAGAGTGTTCAGAGCTCTTCCGTGGATTAGTCCTGGATCATCCAGGGATACCACGTAAATCCGGTGTCAGTTATTTCATTGTCATTTCCGATTGTCCAACACATACCTCCCACGAGTCACGACCCACAGAACCCTTAACTAAATAACGATAATTTCTAAACTAATTCCTTTCACGTTCAATAAATCATATTGTTTGTGGATGTTTATCTATAATATTGAACAATTAGTATGAATGATTTGTGAGTTAGTGTGTATGTAACAGACAATAGTAGTGAAAACTAGTGTAATTGCATCTTTATACATGAACCCATGGGTACCCATGAACTCGCACATACCTAGCGGGTTGGGTTGGGTTTGAGTTTACCAAATCCAAAGGGTTTTACCCCCTTTTTTTTTAAACCCATAGGTTTTTGTTTGGGTTTGACATAACCCGCCCCAACTCGACACATTATCATCCCTACTTTCGACACATGTACTAGAAGAGCTCCAGAAAGCTCCAGAAATTGGTCTAACTAAATGTTTGTGCACATCAAGTTTAGCTTGGAGATTCTTTCGTGTAAGGAAGTGGTTAACATTCATATATGAACCTCACCCAACAACTCAAGTTATTAATACCAATAGGTATACGGTATAGGTATCAATACTGGTTTAATCGTAAGGTCACACGTTCAAATTCTCATGCTTCAAAATATTAATACTTCGTTTAAAGCACATGATATGGTATATTGATGGCACCCTATGCAAATTTTAACTCCATGATGCTCATAACATTCAACACATGTACTAGAAGAAACATAAATTGACTGAGAAATTTTACAATGCTATATAGTATTGGTGATATAGGTTTTTGTATTTATGGTACAACTTGAACTTATACCTTTATGTGATGGCACAGCTTCAAGTTGTAAAGTTGTACCATAACATAATGGTACACATTGCTTTATGGTACAACCTAAACTTATACATTTAATGCTATTGTACAATTTTGAGTTGTACATTAAAGCACCAATGCTATATAACATAATAGAAGTGCTCAAATTGGCTAGCTAATTGTCATAATAATGTGCCTCTGTTGATGGTCGATCTCCTGTTTGCTGCTTCTTAGAAATACTAGGCGATCAACGAGGAAGAGATACTGAAGCACAATTAGCAACTCAGATGTATAAATCAATATATGTCATCATCAATCAATGGCTGTTTTTTTTACACAAACACCACCAAGATACATCACCAAACAAACAAAAACAGAGATAAAAATGTAGAAACAAAGGAATAAATAATTACAAACGTGTCACTCCACTCCGAAACCCATCATCATATCTTCGAGTCAGTTACCAGATGAAGAAGATACTATAACATTATGCTCACTCAAATGGCGCTGAAACTGCGCCAACCGCGTCTGCAGCTGCAGGATCCCTGCAGCCTTCTGCGAGAGAACTGTATTCAACTTGGCAACGTAATCATGGATCTGGTTGCCTGGCTCGTCAGCTGCAGCTAGCAAGTCCATTTCCTGAGCACGCAGTGATAATTGTATCAGTTTAAGTGCACACTTTGAAGAATAATATTAGCAACAACATAGAATTGCACAAATACGTCGTTTTTTGGTTGACATTGTTGATGTAATGGAGTGTTTTTGAAACACACGCCATAGGTAATCTTAAAAGCATCATAATGATACACAACTAGAATACACGCCATCTAAGTCACTTACCTCCCTGACTACGTCGATTGTCTCCTCAACTTGCTGCCGGTGTGCAGATATAAGATCTTCCTCTTCCTGAAACCAAATAAACCAACATTTAATGCATAGCCAGAAAAGATGTTGCACACTGGAAAATCTGATTAGCGGGTTTATTACCATCAACAAATCATTCAAATCCTCGTCTGGATAAAAATTGTTGGGTTGAGGCGTTGGGATCTCAGGCCTTTTCGTTGGAGCATCATTTCTCCATCTATCATCAGGTGCAGAAACTTGGTAGCTCTGTGATCTTCCACTAGGCACCCCGTCCAAGTTATAATGAGGTGGAGATGAATCCCTGTCGACTGACATTGACCAAACAAACCTGTTCTTGTCGTTGGGGAAATCGGTTATGCTATCATCAGAAGTTGTCTGCAGTAAAGCAGTTGAATCTCTGAGGTTTAGGGTTGACGAGGACAGAAGATCCCTCTTGGAGCCTGTCCCTTTTGATAGACTCTTCACCCTATGAAAACAATGGAAGTGTTAATACAAGTTCCAAGTGAAATATAAACAGCTAGTCTTTTAACTTTCTACTTCGTTTTGAAATGTTTCTCATACCTGTCAGCATATCTTAGAGTGTTGAGAGTATGCTCACAAGAGCCCGAGCCAGGCGAGATGCAAGATATCATCACAGTACGAGAATTGCCAACAAATGAATCTCGAAGTACTTCGGTTAGTTTACTCCCTCTAAATGGGATGTGACCCTGGTCGCTGTCGAGAGCTCTTATGCATTCTTTTAGAGCAAGCAAGCTCTTGTTAATTTCAGCTCCTTCCATCCTTGTCTGTTTATCGTTATCAGTAGTATCTGCACCACGCTCACTGCCAGCAAGATCTATGAAAGACAGCTTTCCTACCATCCGGGCGGGCTTTGATTCAGATCCATCAGCCGATCTCTTAATAACAAGCTGAAGTATAGCATGTGATCTAGAGGACTCCTCGTTTGCACCAGTTGTACCGGTGCTTCTTGTGGCATTTCCTCTTTCAATGAGCTCCCTGATTGTCTCCACATCAAATACTTTGTATTCTTGCAACCCCACGATACATACCTGCTGTTTCCCATCCTCCCTCATGCAAAGCTTTCTGCAAAATTACTGAGCTTCAGACAAATTATAGCAAAATTAAGATGTTCTTCCAGTTTGCCTCAACAAACATGATACAACTTACTTCCGATCGTTGAGGAGATCGAAAAGCTTCCCACCGTATATTTCGAAGAAGCTGACAAACAATTGGAAACCTTGATTCTTGTATGTGTGAATCATTAGCCTCAATATATCTTGTGAGGCCTTGATTGGAAGTGGTTGCATGGTGTAGGTCTTCCCGCTTCCTGAAAAAATTAAATGAATACTAGGTAAGCTCACAATCAATCAATGGAAAGTAAACTACTAAATAAGCACATGTAAACTTGTGAAACACGAAACATGATAAACTGACATGGATGATACAAAGTGTCCCCATGAAACGAGTAGTAACATAACCAAAAGGCAGTCGAAGTAACTTGCCAGTTTGCCCATATGCAAAGCAAGTTGCTTTTGTTCGTTGGAAAATCAAAGGCACTACTGGTTGAACAGTCTCTGCATAAACCTACAGAAAAAAATGATACGACATCAGCCAAATTATCTAAACAATGTAGGCATGCGTGACAAACGTTACAGCATTCTTACTTCATCATTTGAAACACCTTCATCCAGCACGGCGTCGAACACAAATTCATGTTTCTCCATATATTCTGTCAAGTCCACCTGCAGGTTCAGCCATAGGGTTCATGTTTCTTCTCCACACCCACTAACGGAATCCAGAATAACTTCAATATTAGCAACATCACGGATAAAACACCTTCATCTTCGTCTCATGAACAGTAAGAGCATTCGAATTTGGTTCGGTGGTAATTATATCTCCCTCTTTCTTCCCCTTCTCTTTCCTGTTCAGTGGCCTTTTGCGCACCTTCAATGATGAGCAATTTATCACTGTTACAACTAATCCACATTCCTTAATGCAGGTAACTAAATTGCTCTTCAACAAACATACCACAACTTTGATCTTGGCTACATTGTTGGCTCTCTCCTTATCCACGGAACCAGAGAAGCTCTTGAGAAGGCTACTCTCAGGCAGCCCTTTAGTGGATCTGCTTCCAACTTTGCCGGCCAAGAGATTTGGCTCGGATTCATCAAAACTTCTACCACGAGAGCTTCGTCGTTGATCGAACGAGTACCCTTCATAACCGCTCCCATCCTGCACCTACAGACCAACAATTCGCTACTACATAAGCTCGTTTCATTCTGTAATCCACAATTTATTCGTTTCTCAATTCCCAAAACCCTGATCCAATTCAGCTCCTAAAATTGGCGGCGACTACTCCAATCAAACCGAAATGCAGCTCAACTGCAACATAAGCCAAACCTCGGTGAGAAGCTCGGTGTCGAAGGAGTGGAGATCGAGTAGGCCCGGTGACGCATGGCCGTCCCCAACGTTCCGGAGGCTCGACGATCGCGAGCATACCGGCGGAGTCGACGGGTTTGACTGCAGGCTCCGATTCATCTTTGACCCGTACCCGAAGTCCTACGCACCATCACAGTAATTCTTCAGCCCAAAGTCGAAACCAAAAAAAAAAAAAAAATCATCCGCAGAATGTATGGTTGGTTACCTGAGAAGATGACTGCAGCCATTTGCTGGCGTCGATGAAGTTATCGGAGTACTGGCGGTGGTGGTGCGCCGTGGAGTGAGATCGCGACATCTGTCTCCCCACCACACTCATCTTCCTTCCTTCCAGGGAAGAGTTAATAAAAGAAAGAAAGAACTCGAGCTCAGCACCACCCAAGCTCCGCCGCCCCGTTCACCGTGAAATCGACTCAGAAGAAGCAGAAAACAGTCGCTTCCGATAGATAGATAGATATCGACGATGGATGATGTACTTCCTCAGATTGAGAGCTCTGTCTTTCTCGCTTTAAAACCAGGAGAGCCGCGGAAGAGGAAGAAGAAGGGAAGCAAAATGATGAAATTTGAAAACTTTTCTTGTTTTGAAAAATATAAGGGCAAAACGGAAAACACCCGGGATTGTCCGCCACTTGACGCGTGGGATCAACCGCGCGTGGGGAGAATGGCCGGGGGATTCGGGGCGGGACCCGAGTGCCGAGTGGTTTGTTTTTGTCGAGTTTTTTGAAATGGATGTATGCGGAGGGAAGGAGTGGGCGGCGGGGTTGTGGACCACCACGCGCATGGGGTACTGAGTGAGACCCATGACGCGCGCCGATGGTTGGGTTGGGTCAGGTACTCAGGTCGTTTTGGTCAGAGCTTTGCTTGTGAATTTGTATGAAGTCGAGATTGAGGGGTTTTGCTGGTGGTTTTGACGTGGCCCCCGGATTTAGTGATTTGCGGTAGGGGAGGGGCAACGGGAAATGTGTATTTGAGTATATCCCGTCTTTTTTTTTACGGTTACGGGTATTCAAATACTCGTATATTTTTTAGTGGGATGGGACGTGGGATCAAGATATTCTATAATGGGTACCCGCAGGTTACCTGTTTTACGGGTACCCGTACTACCCGCCCAAGTAAGAAAATACATATGAGCTGCCACAATTCGTTACCCAGCATTAATTTAAATAATAATCAATCTCACAACAAATATTGAATATCTATTCTAAGGCAAGCAGTGCTAGCCATTCAAATCAGTCACGGCTGTCTTGATGAATCCAGGTGCTTCCCTTCAAATATGAAAACTTATTGAAATTGTGGGAGACATCTAATTTCCCGTTCCCATAGACCTTTTTTTATCTAAGAAAAATACATTTTAAATTTATTAGATAAAACAGAAGACCACAAAGAAGTCTTAATTGGTATAATCAGCTTAACTCTAATTCGTCGGAACTATGAACCGAGCAGCGGTCTTGTGGATAACAAGCTAGGGAGTGGAAATTAATGGAGGCTACGGATCATTGAATCCGCACAGGTTTTCGGTCTGTTCTTACTGCTCTGCTCTAGAAAAATGGCGGACAAATGATTTGTTTGAGATTGGGGAAGAGGAAGAGAATTACGGGTTACCCGCGGGTACCCGTTATCCGTCCCGTACGGGTAATGGGTACCCGTTAACCTGTACGGGTTTGGGACATGGGATGAAATTTCTACTTCAAATGGGATTAGGTACCCGTTTCAAACGGGACGGGTACCCAGTCCCGTCCCGTTGCCCACTCCTAATTTGCGGAGCTATGATTCTCCGAATTGTATTCGAGTTCTTCTCCAAAAATATGTTGATTTGAATTATTTGAGTTTTCAAAAATTTCTAAATGTAGACTTTACATAATTTCAATGTTGATGTGTTTTTTTTTTTACGGAAAACCTGTTGAAACTTTATTAATCAGTCGAAGCCGTTACATTATCGTGCTGTAACTGATCAATTAAAAACACAGGAGGCCTATCGAGCCAAACAATTGCTTCCAAGTCTCTAGTAGCGGACCGAGACATCAGGTGTGCAGCTTCATTCGCAGTACGTCTCACATGATTCCAAGTTCCATTCCCATTTCCACCAGCATGCGCCGAATATTTCTTCCCACCATACCCACCTCTGTTCGCTTGCTGAAGCCAATTTATCAAAGTCAGGCAATCAGACTCAAGGATGGTGTTCATGACTTGAAATTGGAGAGCCATTTGTAAACCAAATTCAGCAGCTAGAGCCTCCCCCATTTCGACATCAAAGCACCCTACCACCTTCTTCATTGCTGCAAGTAAAAATCTTCCATTCTCACCTCGTATCGCCGTCCCCAAAAACCACATGTCCATCCTCCACAAAGCATGCATCCGTATTAACCTTGAACTTCCCTAGTCCAGGGGCTTTCCACATCGTAGCCACGGGTAGATGAATTGGTGCCTCCTTATTTTGCTAATGAACCTTGTAGTCCGCCAAGTAGTATTTCGCCCATTCGTTGAAAAGGTGGGTGTTCCTCTCTTTCCATAGGAACCATAAGAGAACTCCCCCACCCTTCCAACTTCTCATCGTCCCCGAAGTCAATCACCTCCCTCAACCACTAGAAACAATTCTCCACCGGCTTGTAGTCGAAACAGTCAACTAGCTCGGATGCCCTCCAAATGCGGGAGGCACGACCACTGAAAATCTCCAAAACAGACACTTGTCACTGCGTCGCTGACTCTTCTCGCTAAAATGATCTCCTGTTGGCAACACCTCTCGTACAAATCTCCATAGGAAGTGTTTTATTTTTGGTGCTACTTTCATATCCCATAGTTTCTTCAACACATCGATCTTCCTCACCATGATGTAAAATATCATGCTCCTGCCTAAACTCATTCAGCCAGAATCTGTAGCCCTCTTTAACCAAATACTTCCCATCCCTACTCGAGTCCCATATCAGTATGTCTTTCTCCTCAGCTCCGCGCAACGGGATCTGTCTGATTGACTGGGCAATCTCAGTTGGGAAGCAACTCCAAGTAAGTTATCATGCCACTGATCCGTGATCGGATCGATCAGGTCCCTAACCCGGGCCTCCACTGGCAGTCCTCGTGGGACAGATGTTACGTAGGCTCCATCCCGGTTGGGAATCTATCTATCCCCCCAAATATTGACCGAATCTCCATTCCCTATTCGCCATCTTAGCCCCCTTATGAAGGAAATCTTGCACTGACATCAGACTCCTCCAAACAAAGCTTGAATCATATCCAATATTAGCCTCCAAAATTATCGACCGTTTAAGGATCTGTGCAATGAGGGGTGATGGTCTCTGGTATAGTTGCCACTGCTACCGTGCGAGTAACGCTTGGTTGAAGCCCCATAAATCTATACAACTCATTCCACCCTTGGCATAATCAGCTCCTCCCTCTTCACCCAACTCACCCTGCGTTACACCCCCTATTGTCCCCACCAGAAAGCTATAATCATTTTGTGAACTTCATCTACGACCCCATCCGACACTTTAAACACTGACATAAAGTATGAAAATTTCTCATGGGCTACCGATTTAATCAAGACCTCCCTAGCCCCCACCGACATCACTCGCTCTTTCCACCCTTTCAGCTTCTTCCTGATCCGATCAACTATTCCCGTGAACATTTCCTTCTTTGAGTGCCCAGCTGTTGTTACCAACCCCAGATATTTTTCATGCTTCGGGACAATGGGCATACCAAGCATACCACTCACCAGCAACTTGTTATGGTGTGACACATTAATGTTGAATGACACTTCGGACTTGGATAGGCTAACCATTTGTCCAAATTCATTCTCATATGCCGCAAGTATCTCCTTTAGAGTGAGGCTTTCCTGTTGCGTTGCTCTAGTGAAAAAGATGTTATCATTTGCAAAAAAAAAAGGTGGGAAATCACCGGTGCCCCCCGCTGCAGACTGTAATCCATGTAATCGATGGTCACTGACGGCCAAATCAGTATACGCGGATAGTCCCTCTGCACATAACAGGAATAAATAGGGCAAGAGCGGATCACCTTGCTTGAGTCCACGTCCCGGAACTATGCAATTAGAACGGTGCTCGTTTACTGAGATGGAATAAGTAACAGAACAAACACACAGCATAATCCGGCTTATCCATTGTTCACAAAATCCCATCCTCCTCGTTACTCCCTCCAAGAAGTGCCACTATACCCGGTCATATACTTTTGCAATGTCGATTTTTGCTGCCATAAAGTCCGCCTTTCCCTTCTTCCTTTTCTTCATGGTATGAAAACACTCAAATGCAGCCATCACATTATCCGTAATGAATCTCCCCGGCACGAAGGCACTTTGTGCCGGAGAGATAATTTTGTTCAGTAGGCTCTTTAACCTATTCGCCATCACCTTTGATGCCAATTTGTATACTACATTGCATAGGCTGATCGGCCTAAACTCTGTGGGCGAAGCCGAAGACTTCACTTTCGGTATTAGCACAATAATTCTATGGTTGAGTCCGGCAGGTATTCTTCCTTCCTCAATGATTCGCCGCACTGTAGCCACCACATCATCCTCCACCACCTCCCAATATTTCTTGAAAAAATGTGCCGAAAAACCATCCGCTCCAGGTGCCTTGCGCGACCCTGTAAAGCGAACCAAGCTTCATCTTGCGTCACTGGTCTCAACAACTCCATTTCCTTCCTCAATGATTCGCCGCACTGTAGCCACCACATCATCCTCCACCACCTCCCAATATTTCTTGAAAAAATGTGCCGAAAAACCATCCGCTCCAGGTGCCTTGCGCGACCCTGTAAAGCGAACCAAGCTTCATCTTGCGTCACTGGTCTCAACAACTCCATGTTCTCTTCCTCTCCAACTGTAGTCAGAATCGAATCAAGAATTGTTTTTGCCTCTGGCTCGGGTCCTATAGTAATAATATCACCATAGTACTGCGTTAGACAGACTTTCACAAGTTGAGTCCCAACAAACCATCGCCCGGTGTGGTCTCTAAGCTTCCGAATAGCATTCCGCTTCCTCCGGGCCGACGCCTTCTTGTGAAAGAACGTTGTGTTCTTATCGCCTTCTCTTAGCCAATCCATTCGCGACCTATGCTACCAGTATTGCTCCTCCTTCTCTAGTGCTTCAAGTTCTGCTAACAGGGCCTTCCGTTGTTGTAGGATGTAGGGGTGGGCAAACGGTTCGGTAAACCCGAATCGAAACCGAAACCGAATTAAACCGAACTGAAACCGAATTAATGCTATTCGGTTCGGAATTCGGAAGGAAAATATGGATAGTTCGGAAATCAGGGCTCTTTCAACCGAACCGAATTTCCGACCGAAAAACCGAAATACTATAATTGCAAGCTCCAAATGATGGATTTTTATGTTTGTAGTTGTTTTTAGACTTAAATATTTGAAATGTTTTAAGACTTATGTGTTGAAAAGTTTGGTTTTATCATTGATGATGCATATAATATATATTTATTGTTTATATTAGGGGTGAAAAATAATTTAAAAGTGAGAAAATACAAGTAGCTTCACAAATTCGGTTTTGTGTGAAAAACCGAACCGAATTATAATTAAGTTTAAACCGACCGAACCAAATTATAATTTGGTTCGAATTCGGTTTGAGGTTTGGGAGAATTCGGGGACCCGATATTCATAATTTCGGTTCGGTCGAAACCGAACCGACCGAATGCCCATCCCTAGTAGGATGTCATATTAACCATAAGAGAATTGCAAAATGGTCTCAAACACATGCGAATAAACTAATTGTATAAAACCTTTGTTAATGTAGTCCTTCACTAACATATTATTAACATTAACAATCTGTAACTTTGCTAACTAAATTTTTTTTAGTTTCTTTATACAAGCCACCTCAAATTCTTATCTTTTAGCAAACTTGAATTCATACGAAGCAACCTGGTCCACATAATAAACAAAGAGAAGGAAAAATATATTTCATAAAAGAAAATGGCGAAAAGGGATTGAGAGTTGTACTCTGCACCTGAAAAACACTTTGTGCGACCTTTTTAAGGGAATCTTAAAATATTAATATTTTTAACAGCAACTTGCATTCGTTATAAATATAGCGATAGGTGTTCCGACTTCCGACTAAGAAAGCAACAAAGAAAAGGCTTTGCAGGGTTTTCATCTGAGACCATAAAAGGAAACAAGTATACGTCCCTTTTGGTTATGATTCAAAGCTCAAAATGTAGACTCACCATAATCTGGTTCTGAAGCTTCTCTTCTCAAGATCGGTCTATCTGGCGGCATGAGGAGTAAATCCCTCAATCTAAATCCCTTGGAACACAAATCCACTATCCAATAAATTGCAAAAGAGATCTGCAAACCAATCACCCGTAGGTAAATCCCTCAATCTAAATCCCTAAAATCCACATCCACAATTTAATTGGGAATAGAGGATAGAGTAGGGAAAGACGGATTAGAAGAATCTCACTAAGATCTGTCAACTTCCAAAGCCAGAAATCCAAGCGTCATCTCGTCAGTTATTTCGCCATCTTCATCGCGTTCAAAGCCGCCTTGGCCGGCGTCTCGTCTCCTATGAGATACCATCACCAGTGGGTGCTCGGAGAATCCAAATTAAAAAATGTGTCAGAACTGAAATAAACTAGGAATCAAAAGAAAACACGCATGCAGGCTTGGTCTTACCTTGGTCGGTGTCTTTCTAGTCGATTAGGAGCTACCGAGTCAGGGTTTAGTGGTCGGAGATGAGAGAAAGAAGTAGATCGAGAAATGAAAGGGGTATAATATGTCAAAAGGTGTTGTCACAAAAATTTGTCATTTTATCGCCGTCAAGATAGGTCAAATTTGACAAATATTTAAAACAAAAGTTGTCACATTTGCTTTCAGTATATCTGAGGTTTTGGGTAGTCTATTTTGAAAAACAGAGATGTTCTGACGACATATTTTGTCATTAAGGTTGTCATAATTTGGTGATTTGTGGACAATTGTTCGTCATATTACACAATTATATTTTGTCATAACTGTATATTGTAATGACTGCATTTTGTCACAAGTGTATATTGTGACGATATTATTTTGTCATAACTGCATATATTAACGAGGAAAGGTGTCTTTTTTCCTCATGTCTAAAATGACATATAATAAACACTTCAAAGAATTTTTTTAATTATCTTGTTGCATATGCTTCTTGATGCATGCTCTTGGAGACTTAGATTTTGTATCAATCCTCTCTTTTAAATAAGACAAACATATGGAGTGCCTAAATAATTATTATGTAGCATTTACCTTACAACAAATCTTCTTTTTCCTTGAACGACAACTTCGCCCGAGAAGAACGGAGTTGCCCTGCCAATTCTGTCCCCAGTTCGGCAGTTCCTCGTCATTGGAATCCACCCGCCTGTAGGCCCCTTCACCGCCATCACGACGCCGCTTGGATATGTAAGGAATAAGCTTAAATCTTGAGTTCCTGAATGCATCATCCCCATTTACAAAGCTCTGTAGCAATGGCGAATCTTCCAAAGGCGTGTTCATCATGAAGTACAATGCAAGGCTGTATGTCGTCGAACCTGGCACTTGAATGTTTATAATCAAGAAGAACTCTGGCCCGCCTTGTGCCGCATATTTCTGAACAATGCTCCCAGGACGGCCAGCTAAATCATCTTCTCGTTTGTCAGATTTTACCCAATCTGCAGCAACCATCTCCATCAAAGTACCCCTTGCCTTGATCTTCTTCTGGTCTCACGTTCTGCAGCTGGAGAGGATGTCCGGGAAAACCCTATTCGACAATGAAATTGGCAGCCATCAACAACCAGGACGCCCGCCAACCATCCTCATGCATAGCCGCCGAAAGGTCCTATTTCGTAGTTACAAATCTGAATTGATCATCGGTGATGAGCGGTCGGTAGTGTCGTGGATCGTCGTTCCGGCGATGGGGGTCGTCATTGATGAAATCGCCGGCGAGTCAAGCCATTGATGAAGACCGCGCTGAATTTGCGTCACCGCTCCCGTATAAGGTAATTACGTTAAAGGTAAGTTTCCAAAACAGAAACTTTTTGAATTAATTTAATTCCTCTCTTAATTATCTCATTTATGATTTCAATTGCTAGTTGTTAGCTTTTATTATTCCCTTAATCTACGTTTTCGTCATCAATTCTCTTTCGGTAACAATGATTAGGTAAATATTAATTATTTATTTAATTTATTAGAGCAAGCTCAGTTATGTTAGTCATTTTCTTCTTATCCATTTTTTATTGGATTTTATCCAATATTTTTACTTTTCAGAATTAACTCACTTTCTTCGGGTTGAAACCACATTATTGATGTGGAATTTTCGGTGAAGTCCGACTATATCTCTTGACAGATTTTAATCTCTTCAGTTAGAGATTTTTAGCACCTTGTGGTGCCTTTGTAGCTGGTATCTGTACAGGAAAATTTAGTATTGTGAAGTTATGATCAAGCATCTCCTCAACCTATGATGGAAAGCAAGTCTCGTTAAATGATTTATTCAATTGTTACAAAGAATCTTCAAGGATGTGCAACTGACTCGGTCGGCTTCTCAGGTGATGGAACTATTCTATTTGACTTTCATAATTCTATTATGGTATTATCGATGATCATATCAAATTGCTTGTCTTTAGTGAGGCTATTTGATTGTATCTTACCCTTAATGTATTGATTGTTACATATTGCGGGGTTTCTCAACTGACCAAAATGGATCCTACATCGAGGAAGCATTCTCTTCCCAGTGCATGAGCCACTTTCAGGGAAGTTTCTTTTCTCTCTCTTTCTGCCCCTCGTGTCAGTTTCGTGTCTTTCCGCTCCTTGGAGCTTTCTCAGAGCTGCCCACCTAGTGGCATAACATGCTCTTTCATCGGGAATCCGGTTGCATACGGATTACCGTTCTTTATTATTATATGTTTTGTATTTTGTTGTCCGGCCATGCCTTGGGGCTTTTCTTGGATAAAAAAAATTAAAAAAAAAAATAAGACAAACATATTACATGGAGTTCATTTATTGAATCCAATGGCAAAATAAACAAATATTAACAGGAAAAGAAATAATGTAAAGAAGCTACACGTAAAAAAAAGCAACTGGAACAACAAAAGAATGCTGCAGATTAAAATGAATAGAGGCAAGCAAATGGAGTAGATCACTCCTACAAATGTCTATCATCACCTTAAACTCCAGGTTGTAATTTGCAGACATGGGAGAGAGCTTTTCACCAACTAGACTTAAGCAGCAAACCTATTAGAACAGATCAACTTATCAGATGGGATGCACCTCCCGGAGATGGAGGAAGATGAATACGGACGGCGCAACACAAAGAAGCACATGACTCGCTACAGCAGGTGGAATTCCAGAGACAATGATGGTGATTGGTTAGAAGGATTCTGCTGCAAGATTGGCTCTGCCACGACAATCCTTGCTGAATTATGGGGAATACGTCAAGGTTTAATTATGACTTGGAATCAGAACACTAAGTTTATTATTCTAGAAACTGACTCGCAGCTTGCTATATAATTAATTAGGAAGCGAGACGATCCAGTTCATCCCCACTCAACCATACTGGCAGCTATTCGCAGATTGATAGCTCAGAACTGGGTGGTACAGTTAGTTCATACGTATAGAGAGGGGAATAGAGCTGCGGACTGGCTCTCGAAGCACAATCGCGTCTATCCCTTCGGTACGCATAAACTGATGAATCCACCAAGTCAGCTACAACGAATTCTACTCGAAGACACTCTGGGGGTGAGTTTTTCCAGGATGGTTCTGCAAAACCAGGATTAAAGCCTATGATTTGTTGTAGGTTGAGAGTTGCCTTTTCTCTTCTTGCCGTTTTGTAACCTCGGCTGTATTCCTGAACCTTCCCCTCTGTAATCCTCTTAATAAAAAAAAAAAAAATAATGACTCGGCTCTTTATCCTACATGGCGCACACACCTGCATTTTGTGAGTTAAATAAAAGCCATGTCAGCAATTTGACGGAATAATTAACAACGTCATAACTTGATGGATGGAAAAACTAACCTTGCATTATTAGTGCTTAAGTTACACTATATACTCGAGTTTAGTGGCCACTTTTGTATTTAACTCGTAAAAGAGATAAAAGACACAACAAACGAATGGGAAAATGTGGAGTGGTGATACTCGATCGAGTAGGGAAGGAAACAAATGTGCTAATGCAATGGCACACGCGGCTTGTATGTGAGATGAAACGAAAGTGTGGATAGGATTCATAGGAAGACCTAATTTGTTCCTTGTAACACAACTTACCATTGATTGTATTGATTTAGCAATGACATAATGAAACTCCAAACATTATTCATCAAAATAAAATAAAATAAAATAAATAGTCATATTATATCATGTAATTCAAATATTCAATCAACTGTTAGTAGTAGGATCGTGAAGATTTGAAAACACGAGACTAGTCGATAAAATGTTTTGATGTGATATGAAAAACCAATTACTCCAATAACTCATATTACTAGAAACGTTCAAATATGAACCTATTTGTAGTCAATTGACGCACTCTACATCGTGAGAATTGATGTGTTTGCGTCGTCTGAAAAACGTCTTATGTTTTGTCGGTAGATTATTCATTTAATCCTATTTTGTTATGGTACAATTCAATGTGGTGTTATCATGCAAATAGCGACATCATCTGGATCATATATCTAATATAACCAAAACAACTGAATCTTGATACTTCATACTACCATTAGTCTGGTAAGCAAATACCTTCCTTTCCATATTAAACCGTCCCAAGTTGTGCCTATCACATGATAAACAATATATTTCTCAAAGTCGATTCGACAAGCTTTGATCTTATGCATTGATCATGGCTCTAGCTTTAAACAAACACAAATGATGACATCTTAACCGAACAAAAATCTTGTTGTCTTCTTCCATATATGTATTTAACTTTGATTTGCATCAACTTTTCGGCGATCGCGAGAGAAAGGTCAACTACAAGTTGAGGCTCACTACTCAGAACAAATTGATGTGTCAAATTGCTTACCCAAAACGCAAGCTGTCACACTTTTTTACGTAGAACCAACCTTTGCATATTTAAACCAAAAGATGATGAGAATGAATGCAAGACAAGTTACTACAGTTTCATTTTCATCTCCCAAACTTTTCAACAATAATTAATTAAGGAGAATAAGTTGTTTGGTTATGTACATATTAAGAATGATTGTTTACTAATAATATATTGTTTGGTAAATATAAATGTTGCATACATTTAACACAATTTGAAACATGGATACTCAATCTCTGACAAAAAAAAAGTGAGATTGATAATAATCATTTTTCATGTTTTGAGAATATATGTGGATTCATGATACATGATTTACTATCAATACATGCATTTTATCTTAAAAAGCATGGATTTTATCTTAAAAACATGCATTTTGTATCCAAATTAGGCAAAAAGTATTGTATTTCATAGAATACATGTTTTCTCAAAACACAGAATCCCAATGGAAAATTCCAGAACACAACATACATACACATTCATGGGATCTGCGATTTTTTTTGTCGTGTGATGATAATTAATCGCATCCCATTTTAGCATTTGTCTTTGACTTTATTATTAGTAATTGAGGTTGTGAAACGACAGGATTAGTAGAACAAAGTACAGATGGAGGGAAAAGCTGAGTTTGAATTAGTCGGGACTTAAAAGAGCATTTGGTTTGGGAAGTGTTTGGTCGGGAAAGTCCACTTAGATGGTGACGAGGTTGATCTAACCATTTAGGTTAAAAAAAAAAAGATGAACTAATTAATTAGATAATAACACCATGAAATATTATTCAAGTGAACTAATTAATTAGATAATAACACCATTTTATCTTAAAACTGCTATGCCTGCAAATAATTATTATTTTGTATCACAATTAACATTCAAAGTTGAGATGGCCGAGTGGTTCGAAAGGCAAATTTCACTCTCAACATTTAATTCTTTTTATGCACGTTCAAAAAGACTCCGTGTTGATCCAACGGCCAATGTACCGCCACGTTATCCACGATCCCCGCACTGAACCGCTCTCATTTTTCGACTCCGCGCCCTTTTTCTTCGTCCCAAAACTTTCGAAACACCCACCTCTCCACCGCCAAAAAAACCACGACCCTTTCCACTCCATCCCCCATTTGCGCATTTCGACGAACAGTTATGGCGCAAGCAGCCCGCCTCAGCCTCAGGCTGCAGAGGGAGCTTAAGCTCCTCCTCTCCGATCCTCCCCCGTCCACAACATTTCCCTTTCTCTCCGGCGGCTCCGATCTCTCCTCTCTCACTACCATCGAGGCCCGTAAGTTCTTCTCCACTCTCCCCCTTTCACGATTTGTAAAATTGCAGTGTTAATGGGCAATTCATACGAACCCTTGTTTTCGGATTTTTCTATCCAGACATGGAAGGCCCCGAAGGCACTGTATACGCGAAAGGGACATTCAAAATCAAGATCCAAGTGCTAGAAAGGCAATCAGATTGTCTTCTTCTTCCTTCGTCCCTATTCGTTCTCTGGTCTGAAACTTTTTTCGATTTGGAATATCCAGGTACCCGTTTCAGCCTCCGGTTGTTACGTTTGCTACGCCGATCTACCACCCGAACATTGATACTGGTGGCCGCATTTGCCTCGACATTCTCAATCTTCCTCCCAAGGTGACTCCCGGTGTTATAACTTTTGGGAAATGAAGTTAGGGTTTTCGCTTGCAACTGTTGGGCTGTTAGATAACTTGTATTTCGTTCTCGTATTAGGGTGCCTGGCAGCCGTCGTTGAACATTTCGACTGTGATTACTAGCATAATGCTGCTGCTTAGTGAACCGAATCCTGATGATGGACTGATGTGTGAAGCAGTAAGTCATGTGTGATTTTTTTGCTGATTGGATCGAATGGAAGTAGTGCGTAAAAGAAGTCCAGCTTCTTTTGTGATTTTTCTCTTGTGAATGTGCAGAGTAGGGAGTACAAATACAATAGGCAGGCCTTCGATCAGAAAGCACGAGCAATGACTGAGAAACATGCTAGATCTGGAGTTGGCGTGCAAAATTTGGGGAACCAATCCGCTCATGTTCATACAGACTTAACCAACGTAGTTGCTTTTCCATAGGGTGATTGGCTTTTTGTTTCCCATGTTGGTAATCCTCTTAACATCCACGTTTTGGGTTGCAGATGGTAGCAGAAGGTGTGAAATCTGAGTCGAAAGTTGAATCAGTTGTTGGCGTTCCTAGTGATAATACTCCATCTATGATCAGCAAGAAGCTTTCGTTGGAAGCCTCGACTAGCTCGTGTCATGAGAGGGACAATGATCGAGGGACAAATGAGGTATTGAAAGATGAATCTTTCATGCAAAAGCCCGCAAAGGCAAGTTATGGAGGTGCTTTAAAGGGTAACTCTGACATCAATGCTGCAAGAAGATACAACAAGCTGTCGATGAGCAGAAGTAAGTTATCTATAGTAACCAAAGATGAAAATGCTAGCATGGATGCATTGGAGTCGAAGCATTTACAGTCTGCTGAACAGAATCCACCTCCGTCACTTCCAATGCCCTCTACTTGGCCCCACTCCAACTTGTCAACTGGGTCATCTGCATCATCTATGTCTCTCCACGGAGCTAATGTCGACTCAAAAGAGGTGTGCAAGAAAGCAAGCTATGTCGGAAAGAAGCTCTCCTTAGGTCATAAAGGGTCATCATCGCTCAGCCGGAAGACAGCTGACAAGGAGAACATTAAACCAATGGAGACATTGCTTTCATCAGGTCAACAAAGTCCCAGAAGGAAGAGTACGAGCAGTGGCAGGAAACCATCCTTGGTTCCTTTAACCCAGTTGCAGCAGGAGAGTAATGTGGCCAATAGCTATACCTGCTTACCTTTGCAGAATCGCTCCGACGAAGTTCTAACTAAAAGCAAATCATCTTGTCCAGAACACGGAGACAGAATCGCTTGTGACACAAGACATTGTGGCCAGGAAGAGTCACTACCACCGGCAACAGACTCGATAATTGTATTGGATAGTGAAGATAGTGAGGAAGAAACAGGATTAACAAGGCCGACGTTGAGGCTGCGCATGTTGAAGAGAAGAAAGTCTCAAGCTTGACCACCTCAGCCTTATTTTAAGCATGGTTCTCTGTATCACAGAACAAGGAGCTTTTGAGTGTTCTCGTTTTGCTTGGTAAATTGATGTTTTTGAGTGCTAAACTGCTTGGTAAATTATTCAGTTTTTGGATTTTCGGTCTTGCCTGACAAGGGAAATGACGTGGGCCTTTACTTCGGCCCATATTTCGGCTCAAAATATCACAAGCCCAAAAGAATTTGTATACTGATAGGAAATACAAACGTGCGAAGGGAGCGGTGGAGCGGATATAATTTTGCGCCCCCGGAAAGTTAATCTGCGGTTGTTGGAGGCCGGAGAGGAAGGCGGCTGATTAGCTTTGGCTGCTCTCGCCGGCGATTCTTCCGATATCTAGGGATTTCGAAGAGCTCGAGCTAGAAGGGGAAAGCAAGCAAGCTTAGCGGTATCAATAGCTGTCTGGTAAAACGGAGGGTGAGATGTCTATTTGCCTCTCCGCCTGTTCTACATCCAGACCGCTAGCGGTTCCGCCTTGTTCCGCGGCGGCGCGTGCCTATTCTTCCACGGCGGGTAAGGGGTGCCAGTGCTCTCTCTCTTTCCGGCCAGCGAAAGGCTCCGGGAGACTCCTTTCTTCCGCGGGTGATAGAGGAAGGTTGCAGGTGGTTCGTATGGCTCCCGACGAAGAGAAGCTGACTCGCCGAAATCCTCTTGATTTCCCAATCGTAAGTCTTTTATCCCTTCCTCTGTTCAGAAACTTTAGTTCTGAGCTACTTACATTGGGATTGGAACTTACTATATCGACTTCATAGGATGGTATTGCTGATGTTTTCGTGATTTGGGGATTATATGTGTTTGGATGAATTTGTTCAACTGCAATTCTTGCTTCCTGTTTCCCCAAGAAATGTCAGCTAATTGGTGTTTGGAGCCTGGAACATAGATGTAGTGGAAGTGTGCTCCATTTCTAATTCCTGAAATAGTATGCAATATGGATAAGAATTTAGATGATAATATTAACAATGGATTTGAAGCTAGAAGAACTGCAATCACCATATAAAGTTTGGAGCTTTGTCGTTCTATTAGATGTTGATCTCTTAGGGTGTCCTGGTAATATGGCCATCGGGATTCATCAATTTGGGGTGTGACTATTAATGGCTGGCAGGCAGCCAACAAGGTTGTTCAGCCATAAAATCCTTTCAGACTGCTTTAGTTTCTCTTACCAATCACGTTTAGATTGTGTTCCATTGCATAATACTGGATCTGATACGCTTGGAGATTTTCCTTGACCTTGAGCGGTTCTAGGATGCAGTCTTTGGCTTTCGCCTCTAGGTTCATGCCTTAGCAGTTTGTTTTATTATATTGGGTAGGAGGTTAGGCTAGGAACCTTCCCAGTTTGGAGAATGCAATCAAATGTTGTTCCTGCTGGGGTGATTTTACATAATCATGGGGGGGAGCAAATGCCATGTTTTATTGTGAGCAATTGAAAACTAGCTGCTTTTAGGGGAAAAGGCCCTGTTCTTGGGGGACCAGTGGGTTACTCATCCCGGCTCCACTGAAAGTAGGGTTGTCATTATAGGATGACAACCTTTTCCGTTGGTTGCCTGAGTTGAACGGTTATAGATTCAGTGTTTATCCCATGAACCATTTACGAAAAATCCGGAATGTTCAGATCTTGACAAGTGACTGAAAACTCAGAAGTCTGGTGAGGAATATGGATTGATGGGTTTTCATTTAATGACTTGTTTATGTTTTGATTGATAACATCCATTTCAATTTCATAGCTAGGGCTCAGTGTAAAGCTACTTCCTTAACCCATGCAATTGACTAGCCTCCTGGTCTTGTTCAGCTAAATTTAGGATGAAAAGATGCAACGTGGTCTCTGAGTCTCTCTTGTATAACAGTAGTGAACTTGGCATTGCAGGAATGGGAAAGGCCGAAGCCCGGGCGAAGACCGGACATATTCCCCCAATTCAGCCCAATGAAAACACCGATTCCACCACCATTGCCATACGATCCTCCCCCAGAGGAGGAGGAAGAGGAAGACGGAGACAAGAAGAAAGAAGAGGAAGAGGAAGGAGACGAAAATCCCGATAAGGAGGAAGAACCGGAGAAACCCGACATCTAGTAGATAGAAAATAAAGTCGGCAACTCGAGCAAAATAGAGTGCGCAAGCGCAATTCTGAGCTGTTCTTTTTGGATCTAAGAGAAGGAAAGTCTTTTGGTTATTGTATGTCTTACTAGTTATTCAATTCTTACATTAAGATTTTGTGCTATGTTAATGAAACATTAGCTCTCGTTCAATTAGAATCTTGTTCTTGCATGAAACTGTTGCTGTATTGCCCTTTTTGAGCATAAAGAACCCTTTTGCTATGCATAATACCTCTGTAGAAAAAGGTGTTCTTGTTTGTAAACCTCAAAATTCCTATGAAATCTTCAGAACCGCAGTGTATGAACAGTGTGTCAACTTTAATTTCCATGAGAAGGCTTATACTTGAATAATTTACGGACTACAGTAGAGAGCGAGTCAGTCTGACCATCAATTCGTGGTCGTCGCTACAAAGAAGTAATTACTTGCATCTGCTGGTCCATCGATCACACTTAGTCTCCCTTTCTCTCCAGCTTTCAAGTGAAAACTCTTCTGAGTCTGCTCAATCCTCGACGATTAGTCAAGTCACACTGGATAATGAAATCTCAGCTACAGGCTACAGCAGAACTGGGCTTGGAGATGAGCTTCTGGTGAAGCATTTCAATCAATCTTTACAACTTGAGGAAGGTGAGCAAAGACTGATTAACCTTGCCTATCAGGCCATCGCGCAGCATATAGCGCATACTAACTAATGTGTTATGCGTTGCCATTGGATAATGGCATGTGCGTTCCTTGCTAGCAGACATTTCTTCTTACTGCAGCACCATCTTTCATTTGACCTACAACATAGACAAATCAGAAACTAACTGTTACTAAAGTGACCACTCAACGACGGTCATGATCATAAACGTAAGGCTCTGTATCAGTTATGCAACCTGGTTCTCCTCCTGTTTCAAAATCATGTCTGTTCACTTCAAGCAAATCGATATAGCTTTCATTCTCAGACTTGTCAGACATTATGCACAAGAATATTCAGAAATGGAAAATTTGTACAGGACAATGCCGTTGGACAAAAGTTTTCCAGTACGTAAAGTTAGTCTATGAGGGGACAAGTCTTTTTACGTTTTCTGCTTTTCCAAAAGACATACTCTCGCGATTTCATTAGGAACATTGTTGCCATGTTGCTGGCAAAACTCAGACACTTCCAATAGAAAGTTCCAGCAACTGAAATAAAAAAGTTGAATTGTCATGGTATAAATCTATGGTGCATACCTGCGGCACTGAAACAATGACAAGATCCTTCAGCAATCCACAAACGTTGGACCTTTGATAAATATCAAATGGCACTTGGAGAAAGACCCCTTACTCTTGCAGTAGAGAAAGGTCTGGTATGTCTGATTGAATGGACTCCTTTTTGTTGCTCTCAGTATTTACATGGTCAAAAGTAGCAGCAGTCTCATGGAAAGTCACTGAATCTTTTGGAACCTCATTGCAACAATTGATCTTAACTTCACCACAGATAGTCTCGGGAGTCTAACATTGAGTTCCATACCAAGAGGGTCATTTCTCTTCTGCTCTTCCAAATTGAGTGCGAGGATGAGTTGAACCTGAACACAGAACGCAAATGTGCAGATAAGTACCGATCTTATTACAATGTGGCTAAGAAGCACCAACTCCCAACTGAGTGAAATGTTCTCTCCTAAGGCGAGTGCGTGCAGCCGGAGACAACCAGCTGCAGACACATTTCATCCAGTGCCAGTAAGCAGAACTTTTTTTTATAAGACCAGTATGCAGAACTTATGTTTCACTTTTAAGCAAAAAAATGCAACATAGGAAGAAATGATTCTAAGCTTCCATGGAGCATTTACGATAATGATTTACAGGTACAAACTTCCACAAGATGCAGAGTAAAATGGACTAAACTGATAAGCTAAGACAATATATTACATACGTTAGCTTCGGGCCCCGCTGAAGTCGCACCTGCTCGTTAACTTATATTTGATATGCTGTAGAGATTTCATAAGGAATTCCAGTTAACTGGACTGATAACCTAAGACAACAAATTACATTACATACGATAGTTTGTTGGGCCCTGGTGAAGTTGCACCTGCTCGTTAACTTCTATCTGACATGCTCTGGAGATTTAAGGAATTCCAGTAAAAAGCCTCTTCAACCTGAGCTGTCACCAGAGATGGTATTTATGAATAATATTCTCGATCCCCAAAGCCTGCAACCAAGAGTAGAGGTCAATTTGACACAAACAGAAACACAGAATTGCGATCTGTTAGGGACCTTGCTATCAGAATGACTTACAATGAAAAGCAGAAGATGTAGACCGATCAATTGGAACTCCCTGTGCCCCTTTAAGAATCATTGTTCAGCAAGCCTCCTCGCAAGAAATTCCAAATGGAATTTGTGATCAAGTCTTCATAAAGAAGACCTGTCGAGCAAGCTGTCATAGGAAAGAGGAACCATCAGTCATTTCTTAAAGAATGAAACAGTGAATCTAAGAAGATAAAATTATATGACAAAACTTAGTAGCGACTTGCCTCATTCAATTTCCATAAGCCAGCTGCTTCTTTATAGACAGGCTCCTGCCGCCTCGACATCAAACAACAAAGAACCTGTCCCCAAACAGAACAATCTCAATAGAGAATAGTATCGACATCATGATCCATCAAGTCCTTCAATTAACATGGTGTAAGTTTTGGGATGAACAAAACAACCCTTCTTTTCCATGAGGCTGAATAATTCAGAAAAACCATTAATAAGGCCTTTTTTGAGCAGGCCATCAATTAGAACTTTCCAAGCCACTTCATCATAATTGTACTGACGATGAAGCAAGTAGGAAAATGCTGCCTGAGCCTTGTCATTATTCCCTTCGTTATATAACCCACACACAATGAACCTGAAAGAATCCAATGTTGGTGAATGGCCATGCTTCATCATAGCATCCAGTAGATTTAATGCATCCGCATACATTTCCAGCTCACAGCAACAAACCAGAAGAGAACTAAGAATATCTTCATTAGGTGACAGCCCTTTCATATTCATATGGCTGAGTAACCCTTGAGCCATAGTCAAGCGTCTCACCTTGCAAAGTCCGATAATAAGCTTAGCGTAAGTGTTTACAGTGGGCGAACAGCCATGTTTTATCATTTTATCTAGAAGCAACAAAGCAGTATCGTAATCTATAACCTTCCATACATCACCAACATCCAAAAATGCTGCATCTCTAACACCAACTCCTGTCAGACTGAGGTTCTCTTCACTCAATTTATCCTTGGACAGATGCTTGATTAAAACAGCATATGTATGATGAGAAGGTTCACAATCATTGTCAACCATGCGCTTGAGGACAGTGAATGCATCATCCATCAATCCCAGTCGCCCATAAGCATCGGCTAAAAATGTATATGGCAAGGAATCTGGGATCACTCCAACTTCAGACATCCTGGCCATCATATCCTCCGCTTCTTGAAGGTTTCCTATGCTGCAGTATGCATGGATGAAAGCTGTATATGTATATGCATCAGGTTTGCATCCTAAGGAAAGCATATGTTTTAAAATCCTATGAGCGTGATCAAAATCACCTTCTTTCAGCATCTCTTTGATTAGGATCGTGTAAGTATGAACAGTGGGATTTAAACCCACCTTTCCCATATTTTCCACCAACTGCAGAGCTTCTTTCGTTTTTCTCTCACTGTAAAACCCATGTATCAAGGCATTGTACGTGGATGAATTAGGCTGACAATGTTCACTGTGCATTTTTTCCAGCAAAGAACAAGCATCATCTACCCTTCCAGCTTTACAAAGTCCATCAATCAATGCAGTGTAAATCACTTCATTTGGCTGTATTCCTTTCTCCTTCAGGTTATCAAACAGAGCAAGAGCTTCCTCTACCCTCTTCTTTTTACAAAGGGCATCCACAAAAACACCGTAAGTCCATATATCTGGAATAACACTATTATCACCCATCAAATCAAGCAACTTGTAAGCGCTATCTAAATCACCTACTTTACACTGCCCATGAATCAACAAATTGAAAGTAATAACGGTAGGGGTCAGCTTAGAAGCAAGCATCTTATCTAGTAATGCCATCGCCTTGTGCACACATTTCGCCTCACAGAATCCATAGATCAACTCATTGTAAGTGCGTTCATTTGGCTTACAATTGTTAGACTTCATCATTTCAAAGATTTCGAGCGCAACATCCATCATCCCCTCTTTGCAGTACCCACCAATCAAAGAGTTGTAGGTAGCTGCACTGGGAATCAATCCTTTCTCTACGATCTCATCTAACATTTGTCTACTCTGCTCCATCTTCTTTTCTTTACACATGGCATCAATCAAAACAGTGTAAGTATGAACATTCGGCTCACACCCTGCCTCCTTCATTTTGCTTAACATATCCATTGCTTCTAATTGCCTACCGTTTGCAAGTAATGCATCAATCATTACCGTATAAGTTCGAACAGTCGGGATACAATTATCTTCTCCCATCTTCTTATATAAACGAATGCCTTCATCAACCCTTCCGGCCTCACAGAGTCCATGTATGAGAACCGTGTAAGAAACTGCATTTCTTCTACAACCTTTCTTCTGCATCACATTAAAAATTCTAAATGCATCATTCACATCATTATTCCTGCAATGCCCCAGTATCAACGAAGTGTAAGTAAAAGTATCCGGCCGCAAACCAGCCTGCAGAATTTTACTCACGTACAAATCCGCCTCAACCACATTCCCCACTTTACAATACACGTTAATCATAGTATTGAATGTGTATATATTCGGCGAAACAAAGTCTTCGATCATCTCACTGTAAACTTTCTTCATCTCATCAATCATCAGGAACCTCGATAACATCATGAGCAGCTCATTGTAACTCCTAACAGTGAGCTTAAACTCCATCTCCGTTCCCCTTTTCTTCATACCTCGCAAACATTCCAAAACCGAGGGCGCCTCATCAACCGAACTGCAACCTCTAACCATGGCAATCCTAACTTTCTCGGCAACACCGAAGAGCTTATTCCGAATCAAAATATCCAAAAGCAATGAATGCGACCGAACATCGTGCCTGAACCCGGGTTTCCTCGCCACGAAATTGAAGAAATTGAGTGCGACGTAAGGGGGAAGGCCAGGGTTGTAATGGAGAAGAGAGGATACGTGAGAAGGACAGATGTCGGACATTAGCTTTCGGACGGAATGGTGTTTCTGCCAGTTGGGAAGAGAAATGATTGAGAGAAGCTGAGAAGGAATGTCAGCTGGGTCCTTCGCCGGAGGAGGAGAAGGAGCGGCGGCGGCGGCGGCCGAGGTAGAGAAAATAGAGAGCAGCCGATTGGAGGAGTTACGGAAAGGGATGGAAGAAGAAGAGAAGAAAGAGGGCAGACCTGGGGATGATGCTGCGACCGCTCGAGATTTGTTCATCTTGAAGGGTCGGAAGACAGCGAGGATCCATTGGTCATCAGCGGTGCATTTTTTTTCTGATCAGAGGGAGAGGTCGGAGAGACGGCGAAGAGAAAGCGAGCTTCGATTCTCAGTCGCCAGGGGAAGTTGAAGGCTTGCTGCTTTGGAATGGCAACGCAGGTCTGCTTAAACCAGAACGGCGTCGCATTACAGTGAGGCACGCGAGATCCAGCGTGTCAGTTTTTGTGTTTGTCGTTTAGTCCGTGTTCCTTTGTATTGGAGACGTGGGCTGGGCTAGGTTTTAACTATAAAATGAGAAAAGGCCCTTAATCAATTACCCATCCGGAAAGAAAGGGGCCCAAACTAGAAGCACGCTTAACCAATGACCCGAAGTTGATCCGGAACTTAATAAATCCATATCCAGTCCGGACCACTAGAAATGGGCGAGTTGGCGAATCCGTTATTAGAATCAATTTTGCCTGTCTTGCTTTGTCGCATGGTTTAAGAAAGCGCTAGGCGTAAGGTAAGGTTTGATTTGAGACTCTACCTAGTGCCTAGTATGTCTAGACATCGTCTAGGAATTTCTATGCATATGGACGTAAAAGTATCGAAATATCTCACACTTATATAGAATCACAAGTTTATGAATCAATATAATTACATCTACCTAGTATTTCTAAATCCTCATCAACAACACATGTTAAAGTATAAAACATAATGTGGAGAAACAAAAAGGGAAGAATAGGCGACAAAATAGCGCATCAAATTGAGACAAAAGAAGCGCAAAAAAGAAAGAAAAAATAATCTAAAAGATGATTATCTCTAACTCTAGTCTAGCCGCTAGCAACACTCAGGAGAGGAAGAAGAAAAAGGGAGAACCATCTTGATTTTTCTCTAACTTAATAGCATTTTTTTTGACAATAAACTTAATAGCATATTGAGAGACACTATGACGTTGTTTTCAGTGTTGACTATGGATCATTGGAGCCAACTGTAACACCCCGAATTTTGGGTTCAGGTTCGACCAAAATACGTGAATGGTAGGATTAACGGTTACGTACTAAGAATTACAACCGCAGATTAGGAATAAAAATAATAACAACTATTATTATTATTATTATTATTATTATTGAAAGGAAAAAAAGGAGGCACGGGCCAAGAGGGCGCTCGGCCCTCATTGTTTTTCCCATCACCACCCCCCACGCCAAGAACCCATCCGGATTCACTAAATAAAGAACCCTCAAAGGGAAAATCCGCCGCTCAAATCTTACCCTAGCTCGTACATTCCCCATCCCTCAATTTCGAGCACCACGAAACCTCTAGCTCCCCTTAAAGTTGAGGTACGCAACCGGACAGAGGAGAGGCAACGACATAGGTGGCCGCCGATGCACGGAGCTCGACAGGGTCTAGCGGCAGCTGGTTAGTGGCGATCGACACAGAAGGACTCGGACATGTGCACGTTACTGATCGTCAGGATCAGCGGCAGGCGGCGGATCGAGAAGCAAGCTCCAGCGGCTGGGACTCATAGAACTATGATCGACGTGACCGGATCCATGATGATGGTCGCTAGTTTTTACCATATCCCCGCCAGAAGAATTGGGTGAACTGTTTGTGGAGGAGGTAACTGTTAGAAGTGTTGGGTGTTAATTGTAATTAGCCTTTAATCCTTGTGTTAGAAGTATTGGTTAATTACATTATGGTCATCGAGTTAGGGTTATTCGGCTAGTATATATATGTGACATTGGCTGAACTTGTAACCTAAGGATTCTCGGTTAATACAATTGACTCTGAGAGGTTGGCCCTCTCCGTGGATTAGTCTCAACAATACGTTGAGGATACCACGTAAATCTGTGTGTTCTGTGTTGTGATCCTTCTATTGATATTATGTTTAACATGGTATCAGAGCCTCTCCTTGGATATTGGGCTTAGGGTTCTCTTTGGCTGCTTCCGGTGCCCTTGGTTTCTTGCTCTCGTGATCTGGGTCTGTCTGTCGCTGCTCGTTTTTGGTCTCGTCCTGGTGCTGCTTCTTGCGGTTCTGTTCATTGCCGGTTTTCTTGGCTGCTCGTGGTTGTGCTGCGGCTTCTTGTTGTTGTTTGGGGGCGCTGCCTCTTGCTTTTCTTTGCGGTTTGTGATGGAGGCCTCCAAGCTGGATTGTGTCTCTGTGCGCTTCAACGGGAAGAATTTCGCGTTGTGGGAACTTCAGTTCCGCCTGTTTGTTCAAGGGCGTCGTTTGTCTTCCATCCTTGATGGCACGAAGCCCGAACCCGATGCCACTGCTCCTGCCCAGGAACGCGAGGACTGGGCTGTTCACAATGCCCAGATCATGGTTTGGTTGCTCGGGTCCATGGATCCCTCGATTGCCCTGAGTTTGCGGGGTTTTTCCACAGCCCATGCCATGTGGAAACACCTTTCGGATGTCCACTCTCACGTCAGTCCATCTCGCCGATTTGAGGTGGAGGTTGATCTCGCTCGGCTTCACCAGGGCGACCTTGATATACGCTCATACTATCAGGAGGCGGTCCGCCTCTGGACTGAACATGATCTGTTGACATCGTCCATGCTCTCTACTGAGGCTTCGGCTGAGGTTCTTCAAGAACGTACGAGCTCTCGGATGATGCAATTTTTGATGAAACTCCGCGGGGAATTTGAGGGTATTCGTTCTTCCTTGATGCATCGCAATGTCACGAAATTGGAGGATGCTTTGGGCGAGTTGGTTCGCGAGGAAACTCGTCTCCGGAGTCAAGCAAAGCTCGACCTTCACCAGTCCGAGGGCTCCTCGGCGTTTGCTGTTTCGGATTCGCCTGCTGGTCAGCAGGTGTCGGCTGACTCTGCTGCCTTTGCTGTTGGGGACGATCGCCCCAAATTTCACCGCACTCCCTCCGGTGAAATTGTGTGCTTCTTTTGTAAAGAGCCTGGCCACATCCAAAATCGCTGTCCCAAGCGCAATGTTTGTAATTACTGTAAGGCCTCTGGGCATAAAATTGGGGATTGTCCGATTTTGGCTAAACGTGGTCGTACCCGTTCCTCTGGTTCCACTTCGAGTGGCGCGTCTCGTGGGTCTGGCTCTGGGGCTGCCTCGAGCTCTGCCTTTGCCACTACTGTTGCGCCGACTCCTGCTACTGCCCAGCATGGCGGATCTGTGAATACGGACCTCATTCGACAGTTGGTCCAGGATGCTATCAAGGAGGTTCTTCCTGCTGCTCTCGGCTCTGTGTTCACTGCTGGTATGCCTTCTCGTTCTCCTCACTCTTGGCATCTTGATTCTGCTGCGTTTAATCATATGACAGGCACTAGTTCTTCGTTTCGTTCCTTGCGTCCTACTTCTCCTCTTATGCTTCAAGTTGCGGATGGTACTTGTTATCCTGCGAAGGGTATTGGCGATATTGATCAGTCTAGTTTGTGTCTCAAAGATACCCTCTATGTGCCGCATCTAGTTCCCAGCCTAGTCTCCGTTGGACAGTTGGCCGAGCAGGGTTGCCGTGTGGTCTTTGATTCCGATGGTTGTGTTGTGCAGGACAAGAACACAGGGAGGGAGATAGGCCACGGGACTAAGGTGGGGCGCGTGTTCACTCTGGACAGTTACTGTGGATCGCCTGCGAAGGGGGACGGAGGAATGCGCCAGAGGAATAGTGTTGCACCTGAGCTTCGTAGTAATTTTGATAATTCTGGTTATTTTGTTAAACTCTCGAATTGGGATTTATGGCATCGGCGGTTAGGCCATCCTCATTCGGCTAGATTATTGGATATGTTCAAACAGAATTTGTTATCTGGAAGTTCGGTTTGTGATTCTCGTGACTGTGTTCATTGCATTAAGGCAAAACTATCGCACCAGTCATTTACTTCTAGTTCCTCCGTTTATTCCGATCCGTTTGATTTGGTGCATACTGATTTGTGGGGACCGTCCCCAGTGACATCACGTGTCGGGTTCCGGTATTTTGCTCTTTTTGTGGATCATGCTACGCGATTTGCATGGGTCTACTTTCTTCGTCATAAATCTGATTTATTGAAAGTGGCGAAGGAATTTTTGCAAATGATTAAAACGCAGTTTGGCAAGATGGTCAAAGTGGTTCGATCGGATCCTGGGGGAGAGTTTGTTTCTGGTCCTCTCCAAGAAGTGTTTAAAGAGTATGGGATTTTACCTCAACAGTCCTGCCCAGGTGTGTCCCAACAAAACGGTCTAGTTGAGCGTAAACACCGGCATGTTTTGGAACTTACTCGAGCCATTTTATTTCAGTCTAGTGTTCCGTCTACTTTTTGGGTGGAGGCGATTCACACTGTGGTTTATTTGATTAATCGGCAGCTCACGCCAATACTCGATCAACGCAGCCCGTATGAAGCTTTATTTGGCAAACGACCAGGTTACAAAGAGCTGCGAGTGTTCGGGTGTGTCTGTTACGTCTTATTACCGAGTCGCGAGCGTAACAAGTTGTCTCCTAAGGCTGTGAAGTGTGTGTTTGTTGGCTACAGTGACAAACATAAAGGATACGTTTGTTATGACGTATCTAATCGTCGGATCCAAATTTCTCGAGATGTTGCCTTCTTGGAACATTTATCCTATTATGATCAAAAGGATTCTGCTCCTCGCCAGGACCTGGATTTTCTTCTTGAGTTGCCTTCATTTCCTGTTGCGCCACCACCCGCTGAACCTGAGCTGGATCCTCCGCACTCTCCTGCTCATGATGCGACATCCTTTCAGCTTGAGATGTCTCCTTCATCGGCTACTAGTGCTTCTCGGCAAGCTTCGGCTCACTCTGGGGATGCTTCTTCCCCCCTCGGCTCGGCCAGTTCTTCTTCGACCGAGGTAAGTTCTAGCTCCTCTCCTGATCAGCACCTTACCGAACTTGCGGAGGAACCTCCCATCCAGCTCCGACGGTCTGATCGTACCACGAGAGGGAAGGCTCCAGCTCGCATGACTGATTTTGTCTCCTTCTCGACGTCCCACATCCCTATCCCTGCGTCGTACAAACAGGCTCGCGGGCATCCTGATTGGGACGCGGCTATGACGACTGAAGTTCTTGCTCTTGAGGCCAACCAGACATGGGAGGTTGTGCCTCGACCTATTAATGTCCCCGTCATAGGATCCAGGTGGGTGTATAATGTGAAACTCAATCCTGATGGTTCCCTTGAACGCTTTAAAGCTTGAGTTGTGGCGCAAGGGTTCCGACAGCAGTTTGGTATCGATTATGAGGAGACTTTCGCTCCTGTGGCTAAAATGCAGACCGTCCGGACTTTGTTTGCAGTGGCCGCTATGAAGGAATGGTGTCTTAAGCAACTGGATGTTAAAAACGCATTCCTTCATGGCGATCTTAAGGAGACTATTTATATGGAGTGCCCTCCCGGTTATTTGGGAGGAGACAAGTCGAAAGTGTGTCTCCTACGACGCTCATTATACGGTCTCAAACAAGCACCGCGTGCTTGGTTTGAGAAATTTCAGGATACTATATTGTTGGCAGGGTTTACTCAAAGTGACAACGATCCCTCCTTGTTTATTCGTCGCACAGCTCGGGGTATCACGGTGTTACTTATATATGTGGATGATATGCTGGTGAGCGGTGATGATCTTCTGGGTATTCAAGAGCTGACTAAAACACTACATTCTGCG